AGAAGAATCTTGAAAACTTCTCTATGAGGCATTACATATCCAGTGAAACAACTATTGTTGCACATTTCAATAATCCCATCATTTAGTTGTTCCTTCATAACTGCATTGTATCTCTCTAATAATAACTCATCAGCCTTAAACGTCTTTCCTAATGCAGCAAATCTTTTTGCCGTAATTTCTGAATTACTAAACAGATTTCCTCGTAAAGTCTCTGACTTTCATAAAAGTGGTGACTCATACCTTTCATTTATAAACCGTAACTGCATTTCAAATTCTGTAATATTATCCAAGATTTTCTCTTTTCCATTCTCAAGCAAATATGATTCAGAAGTCCATAAACATTTCAAATCATTTTCTACCAAAGTACATGCAATCTTCAAACAGGAAGTAGAATTATGCAGATGATTTTCCTGAATCTGCCCTGTGATAGTATCATCGAATAATGTCTGTTGAATATATAAGTTTTTTTAACTTCGAATACATAAAATCGGCATCTAAGAGTACCTGGACTGGTTTGTTATCTTGTAATCCTTCAGAAATTTCATAGCCGTGTGGAGTTAAATCTTTTAATAATTTAGGTTTAATATTAGAATATATATGAACTCTGCTGATTTCATCAGTTACTAAAACTTGAATGTCTATGCTAGACTAAGGAGGATATTTGCTTCTAAGAGTGATATTAATGGCTTCAAAATCCTTCTCATAAGGATTACGTTTTGCAAAAGTATAAACTAAAAACTTTTCTTTTTTTAAGGGTTGCACATTTAAAGCCCTTACTAAATCTTTTTGAATAAATGATTTCTGCGAGCCCGAATCAAATAAACATCAAACCACTTAATCGTTTGAATTATTTTCCATTTGTACGCAAGCAGTCTGAAGTAAAGTAGTGTAATTTTGTACATAGTTTTGTGACTTAAATACAAAAAACATCACAGCTTGTTTATCAGAATTTTGAATACAGCCTTTTCTGATGGTTTAAAGGCCCGTTTCCACTACTGCATACAAACGTGTTGCTTCAATTGAAGACACGCCTATGGCATCCGTACCAAGGTTTCCATTGCCGTGTATCCATAGATTATTTTCATTTTCTGCCACTAGATGTCACTGTAATATTTTGGCGCTAAACAACCAGTTCACGAGTTACGGCGATGAACATCTGAATTTTTCCCGCTTAGATGAGTATTGTTTGTTTTGGATTTGATATGAATCCTGACGTAAAATGCAGAAAAGTTTTGTTTACTAAATTCCATGTTATTGGAAATTTTTATTTCTGCTTACGAACTGCGAAAGTAAAGTATGCTAGCAATTTTTAGATAAGTAAGGTTATAATGCATATTATGAACATCACTAATTGCATAGAAGCTGAAGTAAATTTTAAAAATTTCTTTGCATTTCTAGAAGCCTTAAATGTTAATAAAATAATGTATGTATTATTAAAACTAAAAATAAATAAATAAAATAAAGTTAAATGAATTAAAAATTAGTTGGTACTTTAAAAATGCAGAGCAACTGTAAAGAAAGGTTCACAATATGCCATGTGATATGACTGCAATGTGAGATTGTATATTTTTAAAATATGCCCAAATTTAGGGAGAAAGCAGGTAATATATAAAATTTTAGCATCGATTTCTTCATTTTTAATTTCTTCAGGGTCATAGCTGGATAATTTATTAGAAATCTCATTTGATTTAAATGCACTATGCACAGTTATATTTTATGCATAATCCATAAAATATTATTTTTAATTAAAAATATACTCAATACTCATACCAAATACTCATTCTCTTTTTATAGAAGTTATAAAAATAAGCTTTATATATATATATATATATATACACAAATTAGGTAATGAAAATGGAAATATTTAATTAATTAATTCCTCTGCTTCAGCTGGAGAGGACTGAATTTAAAAGCAATTATTTTAGTAAGTTTTTTTTTTTTAAATGTTTAGTACATTAATACTGCCTCATGGTAATTGTTAGTGGAAGCTTACAGCTGGAAACAAAGTTTGAGCACATGTATGTACATTTACATAAAAGTGAAACAAAAAAAAATATATATATATATATATATACGTACAATGTATATATATGTAAAAAATATATATATATATATATACGCTTTAAATTCGTATTATATAATTGTCAAAATTTTTTGTGGGGAAAATTTAAATAAACAAGAGCATAAATAAAACAATAAATTTAATGCATATAATAATAGAAATAAATTATAAAACATAAACATAGATCAAATTGGAACAAGAAGCTAAGAAAGTTGCAGACAGGCTGGAAAAAGTGTATGGGATTCGAACTCGCGACTCCAAAAGTTAAACCACGTTACCATCAGCTTTACCACTAAGCTATGCAATTTTGGCTTCTATGACAAAATTGCATACCACACTGCAATTATGCAAGTTTGGCTCATCAAGTAAATGAATTCTTAAAACTACATTTTTTGGTCCTATTTCAGTGTGCTATCGTCTAAAAAAATTCACCAGAGTTTGTTCTTCAGCTTCTAGGACATTTCTTACAAAAAATATTATCTTTTAAAGTGGCATTCTGATTGAAGTTAAACGGGGTGCTAAAAATATATTCCATGTGCTTACAAATATATGTTAGACAAAAAGGTATATTTATAAATAGAGAAATACAAATTTAATATATTCTTTAATGCAGTGGAATATTTAAAAGGCTGTCAAATTTAATTTATAATTAACGTTTTTAGTTTTTACCTGTTTCAAAAGAAAAAATAATAACTCTTTTAATGCTATTTCTGATTTGCTACAGCAGTTTGATATAGTCAGACGTTCAGTTTCATTAAAGGTAAATGCGTATGCAGAACTAGGAAATAATTGTCAGGACAAATTTTGCTATTTCCTGGACTTGAAATTATATTTTTTGCGCCTGATTTTTCTTGAACTGAATTTCTTGACTTCCTGATTTTCTAGGCGAACTAGTACTGTAGTTGCAGTTATTTTATTTTTCTTATCTTTTTTTTTTTTTTTTACTAAATTCAGCTGGTTGCTGTCTTTTTCAGATTTCTCTTTATAATGTTAATTTAGAAATAAATATTTTTTAGCATAACATTCTTTCCCTAAGCCAGCATTCATCACTACTTCTGACGCAATTTATTTTTGGTGACAACACCTGATTGCTCCTTTTTTTACCACATGACCCCAATACATCCGCAGACATACGGATAGAAGTTGAACATTGTTGAACTCCATCTGTATGTCACCCGTCACCGCACATCGACCGGATTGCAGATGTCAATCAAAGTGAATTCGCTCGCTGATTGGAGAAATGCGTAGACACCGCAACGTGTACGCAGCAGTGGAAACGGGCCTTAATTTCCGATGCATTTTTATTCCTCGTTGTGGGGCAGAATAAGGAATTATGCTGTAAAATCTGAGAAATTTCACAAGCTTCTATTTTTACTTTAAATGTTTGTTAACCAAGTATTTATAACAATATCCCTCTTTTTTTAGTGTGTGTCATTTTTGTTCATTGGTGAATGTTTTACACTTTAATCCAGAATGAGAATTAGAATTACAAAAGTCGCGCATCTTCAGTACTGTATTTAATGCAGCTGATGTTGGAATATTGGTTTTAAATCTAGCCTGAGGTTGAGAGTGATCCTTTCCTTTTAAAGGTTCAAGTGTCTTTAAAGAAAGCCCATAAACAGTTCTTGCAGCTTCCCTACATTCAAGTTTTATAAAATTCATTACCTGATTTATATCACTAGAATTTTTTGGATCTTTCTTGCAATAAAATTCTATTACTAAATCCTGAGGTAATTGTTTTAATAAAATTGGTATTAGCAGATGAGTGATGCAACTCCCATAGAATTTAAATTTCTTATACTAATTTCACTTTCTTCATACAGTTTTCGAAGTGCAAGGATATTTAAAGGAAACTTAACTGGCTCAATTTCTAATAGTTTATTCATGAAACAACTAATCAAGTGTTCTTGTTTACTATATCACTCCTTTAACAAATCCAAACAGGATTTATAATTTTCGTCTGTGACCATGAATCCCAAAAGAATTTTGTAAGCATCACCCGAAAGAAAAGATTTTAGTTATATGAACCTGTCAACATGACTTAACGGCTCATTAGAGTCAATTACACTTGAGAAACTATTAAAGAATTCTAGAATCAGCATTAAAAATGGGAATACGTAATTTATGCAACTTGATAGATTATGATGTATTGTGAATATTCGAATTACAAACGTTAGCATTTTGAGAAGATTTAAAATGTTTAGTTTTATACCTTTTTAAGTTTTTTTTCTTTTGAATTTAACATTACTTATAGATTCATTATAATCGAGTGAATTTCAAATTTCTGTTTTGAACATTGTACTATCATGAATCAGGTCTTCGATTTTCAAGTTTAAAGTTAGAAGTTCATTCTGCTTTTCTTCTAAAATTATCAAAAATTCCAACAAATTTTCCTGAACGCTTTCATCTTTATGAAAAAGAATGAAGGGATTAAAAAATTTATGATGAATGTAGTGGATGCTAAAACATCTTATTTCAGAAATAAAACGGTAGCTGAAATGATCTTTTTTGAAGTAAATAAAGCTAGACGTGTTTACTTTGATAACAGTAAAAAATTTGTCAGTAGATAGATCCAACACATGATATATAGGGTAACTAAAAACATTAATAGTTCTACATTTTTATTTGAAAATGCTTAAAAGTATATTGCTTCAATCTATTGTAATCCATAAACTGTTATAAACAACATTTTTTAAAAACTGCTATGTTATTGGAGCCACTGATTTTCACATGTCATGCCACCAGTTATCATTCTGAAAAACAGTAGATTATACATCAATATTTATTTTACGTATTATCTCCTCTTTTTACAGTCTTGTTAGCTGAATCAATTTGATACATCAAAAGCTGTAGGAAATATTGATTTCTTTTATTTATTCTAATGTACATAATTCATCTATCAAAACTGGTTTAAAATGTAAGTGATCTTTATTTGTAGCTCCTGCCTCAAGTCAGGCTAGTGCATCTACTGAAGCATCTTCATCATCAGCTGCAGGAGCATCTGCATCAGCTGCCAATAGTGGATCTCATGCTACTAATACCAGTCCTGTATTTATGCCTCCTTTCCCATGTATGCCCTTCTGTAAGTATGCATCAATTTAAAAGTAGTAATCATGAGATATAAATAATTATATCTTGCAAATTAATGCACATCAGAAGCTGGAAAATAATTGAGTTTTAGAAACGTAACACAGTACAGCCGAATGCTTTACATGTCAAACTTGACTTGCATTTTAACCCTGTGACTCTTCAGTTAGTGGTCCAAAATCGCTTCAAAAATTGTGTTCCCCCCATATTTTAAATCTATATATATTGGAGAATTGAAAAATGCATTTTTCCTTTCTAGAAAATATTTTTTTATATAGATTTTTATCATGAGAATGTAAGTTGCCAGAAAAACCAATTTATCACCCCAAAAAAATTTTTTTAAATAAATTTCAGTCGAATTACAGTTAATTTCTATTTATTGCATAATATAAAAAAATAAAACATATAAAATTTAAGAAAATATAAAGCACTGAGGGGAAAAATACCTTAGAAATGCAATTTAGTATGATAGAGTTCAAAATAGGGTTCAAGGCAAAGTCCAACTTCACAGTCTTTGCACCAGATTCAATAAATCTAATTATTAATCTAATCAATAAATCTAATTAATAATTCAATAATTCAATTAAATAATCAAGATAATCGCTGAATGTTTTCTAGCAGCCATTTCTGTAAGAAAAAATTGCAAAAAGTGGAGTTTGAACGGTAATACCTTGTGCCTTCAAACGCCGCAATTTAGTGGATGACTAACAATATCTGTTGGCCAAAACATAAACTAAATGTCAAATACTGTATATAATTTATTTCAGGCATTAAACGGGGAAAAAACGAGATGTGCTTCTCAATAAAGGGAGAAAAACACACATGCCCACGGAAATCGCAGAATGGGCAGATTTTGCTACATTTGAGTTGCCCGTGGAAATTGTAGGATGAGCAGCCAAAGGGTTAATTGATAAATAATACAGTTGTATTTGCTGTCGTGGATATTATGTATTTAAAACCTTAGGAATCTTCATATTAACAACTGAAGCCAAGTCCTGAGAGACTATTAAATTTCTAAATCAAATGTATAACAAATGGTGTTTTAATTTTTATAGTTATTCTCACATATATAAATTATAGGTAAAGAGAATTTCAGTTTGCATTAAAATTATTCTTAAAATATGCTACCCAATTTTACTAAGATTTAAACATTTTTGTAAATAAACTAATTTTCATTTAAATATGCAAGATAACTTTTTTGTTTCTGTGATAATTTTTAGATGGAGTGGGAGAAAAGGATTTAAAAATTAATAATGAAAAGTCTTGTTAAACTTTAGTGCCCTGAGTAAACGAAGTTTATGTTAGTCTTTAACATAGAGGTGATTTCAAGTATTTTTATTATATATAACACAATTTATATTTTGCGAATTTCAGTACTACCTCCACCTCCACCTGTTCCTGCTACAGATCTGAGTTCTTTGTCTGTAGAAGAACTTCAAGCTTTGGAAGGTCAAGAACGAGAGAATTTAGAAGCAAGAATACGATGTCTGCGAAATATACAGACTCTGCTGGATGCTGCAGTAATGCAAATGCAACAATACAGTTCTGTTGTAGCATCCTTAAGGTAACAGTTGGTAGACAGTAATTAGTATCTTTATATTTTCCCTTCTTATATTTGAAAATGCCATCAAACCATTTGATTAGGAGATATAAAACCTTAGAGGAAAAATGTTTAAAAAATTATTATTTGAAAATAAAATAAACAACTTGAATTTTTTTAAAATTTAAATTTTGTCTTCTTAGCTTTTCATGAGGATAAATTAAAATGAAAAATTACAAGAATCATTTTAAACATGGGATATAATAGATGTCTGATTTTGACACAGAAGTGCCTAAGATGGCACTAGTCATGTGTATAAATGTTGTAGTTATCTCATACCTGCTACAGATGTGTATTAACAGTTCAAACTGGCTGCACATTTAGAAAAATAGTCTATTACTGAAAGAATAAACATAATATGATTTTAAAGGCTCAGAATATTCTTGTAACTCAAATGTACCACCAGTTAATGAGGTGTATGATGGAAAAACTTGTGGCCAAGTAGTGAAATTTCACAGAACAAAATAAAAACTGATAACAGTCATTGCACTCCTACATTTTTCTGTCTGAAGAGTTTCCTAGGAAAAGAAAGAAAAATTCTGAATCTGTGGTGTCACTAAGTTATTGTTTGCAAAATACGATCGAAGTAGGTCTCCAATAAAAAGCAAAAATATGAAGAAAGATACTTAAACATGTGATTAACAGAAGTGATTGGCAGCCTCTTTCTGGGATTTGGAATTATTTTAAATGATGAAGCCTGGAGATATACAAACTGGCATATCTGGCTGACTGTTAAGAGTTGACTTTAGGGTACCCCTTGTATTATCGCAAAATTGTTGTTTCATTTATCGCCAAGTTGTTGTCTCATTTATGACAACCTGAGCAGTTGAATGCTATGGAAACCCTATTATGACGTAATTGGTTGCGGTGAATTTGAATCATGGGAAAAAAATTTGGAAAGTGTGTGTAGGATTTTGAGTAAGGGCTTGTTGTGTGATGGATTAGTACGTTGTTATTTTGTGGTTTACACAGTAAATTGGCTGAATGTTGTAAGATTAATTTGAAGTTTCTGTAGGATTTGGAACAAAAGGGAAGAAAGCATTAATTGTCTGGTGTGTAAATACAGGTTTACTTAGTAGCCATTATTAAGTGTCTTGTTTGGCGAAAGGAAATCCGTATGGTTGAACATCGGATATTTTCAAATGGAGGATATTTTTTACTCTTATTTTTGTGAATTTATGTGGCTGTACCAGTATACAGATTCTAGTTCAGATAATTTTAGGAAGTGTTTGGATGCTGTTAAGGAATTGTGTTTGACTAAAGACGCATAAATTCGTAAATAAGGTAAGTGGATATTTCCTTCGTGTAGTTCTAAGATGAATTCCCTTTTTTATGTTATTTCATTGTTTCATTTAAAATGTAGTTTATTCAGATTATATATTTTTTTGTTGGCTGCTGCTTTGACTTTTTAAGTGAATATAGTTCAATATGTACATGGACAAAGTAAAAGCCTAGTTTGTGAAATTCTCTGATTATTTTAAGTGAAAATAGGTCAATGTGTACATGGATAAAGTCAAGAGAGTGCGCAATGCCATTTTTGTGCAATTCTGGGATTTTTTTTAAGTGAAAATAGTTCAATGTGTACGTGGATACCGAGTTTGTGCAATTCTTTCTCTTGTTATTCTGGTTTTTAGTGTCTAAAAATCACCGCTACATAAACCAAAATAACAAATCAAAGAATTGCACAAATTCGGTATCCACGTACTGCCAAAAATTGCCAAGTTTCGCCAAGAGGTACCCTACAATATACTTTTACCCTGGCTGACATTTTTAACAAAATGATTGAAATAAATCTACCATTACCATTAAAAAGTGCCTTAATTTTTAATGCAAACACTTAAGTGAAACCTTTTAAGAGAAAACCGTATTAGTTGGAATGCATGGAAAAGGAAGATACATCCCTTTTGCAAAAAGATTTTTAATGAAAATAAAGTAATTCAAGAAATAAAATATTTATGTGCATCTTGAAACTTTGAAAGAATCATTTGAACATTATTTTCTGGCAGGTGATGAAAGTGCTTGCAGACATTAAATGGGTTCAGGTTAAAAAAAAACTATCCTGCGTAAAATCAGCAAAGTGCATAATCGTAGTAGATTTGACATCTAACAGTGAACCAAAAATTGTGGTTTTAAAAAACCATCAGTTTTCAACCAGAGTTTCAGCTGTATATTCAAAATCTTACCTAAAACAAAATCTGTATTGCTAATTTCTCAGCTTTATATCTCTGTGAAGCAGAATTCTCTATCTGTAGAAGAAATAAAAGAAAATACAGAAGATGCTTAAATGCAGAACCAGGTTTTCATCTGCAATTATCATCCATTGAACCTAAAATAAGAAACCTAAAATAATATTATTGGCCAAAAAATGCAGTCGTACATATTTCATTATAGTTTATATGTTATTTTATGTTATGTCGTGATTTAGGTTTAATGTTCCACTGCAATTCACTGTAGTTGACGTGTAAGTTAGGAAAATTAAATCGAAGAATTGAAGGTGTTTTTTGTAATGAAATATAAAAATATTAGATAACAAATAATGAACAAATATGTATTTTAATTGAACTGGATACGATGATTAAACTGATGGATCAGCATTAATTACATGTTTTTTATTGTTGCTGTTATTAATAATATTTTGTAATACAAGTGATTTCATTTACTAAACTGTGGAATCAATTTTCACTTTTTTGTATGGCAATTTTTTTTTTTTTTTTTTTTTTTTTTTCAATACTATGCATACTGATAGTAATTAAGATACAGTAACACGCCAAACAAATATTAATTCAGAAGTCAAACAACAAAAATCAGCATTATATTTTCAAATTTACACAGGACTAGTCTCGATGGTTTGACTGAACCATCATCCTCAGCTGCAAAAACACAAGTGAACGAGGTAAGATATAATGATTAGATAAGAAAGAAAGTCTGGACAGGATACAAGCCACTGGCGCCATCTGTTGATGAAACCAGAACTAAAACATAATTTCTTTAAAGGCTGAAGGCAAAGATGGATTGGAATTAAGGTCATTAACTAGAACAGAAAGATTTTTTTGAATGTGAAATACCTCTAGAAAATCCAGTTCACTAATTAATGGAAGATGTTTTTTGAATAATTTTGCCAGCAGAAAAATTGAAAGTGTGATTTTTGGACCAAAGAAGACTTCTGTGTTTCCTTTCTTCTAACATATGCCTCATGTTCCTTAACACGAAATTTTAAGGCTCTCTTAAGCCCCATTCACAAGAGCATATTCGACCGGTAGTGAAAACCGGTTCTTCCAACGTGTCCCATTCACATGGGAACAAGCATTAACTGCCTTGCCGAATTGGGGGTAGAACTTGGTCGAATGTTCCTTACCTCTTGGGAGCAGGGCAAATGGGAAGATTTCCCGTACTATACTGCGCGATTGTGCGGTTCACTTAATTTTAGTTTCTGCTCGCTGGACTGTCAGTGAAACAATCGCGCTGATAGACGTGCATCCCCTCAAAAATTAGATATAACTGTACAAGATACGGAAATTATAGACTAATACAGACAATGTTATCTGATGCTAGGTATTCCAGAAATATCGTTCGAATTAAAACTAAAGTTAAGACAAGTGCATATCGGCTTCAACACGACAAGGAACTCGGTATCTTTTGAATGATTTTTTAAAAAAGAATTTAAGCATTTTCATCTACTTTGTATGAATATTACGAGGGCCATCCAGGAAGTAGATTACGTTTCCGTCTGTGTCCGCTAGGGGCGGGGCTAGCACGGCCATCTTGGGGTCAGAGCGTTGCGCAGCTCAGTCTGCATCTAGCCGTGCTAGTGAGAGGTTCGTGCTGTGCTCCGTTCAGATACTGTGACGGTTTGAAATGTCTGCGTTAATTGAAAATCCCGCGAGGTGCGCTCAGTAATAAGGTTTCTGACTGCAAAAAACTGTAAACCGATAGAAATCTATCGGCAGCTTCGTGAAGTGTATGGGGACAACATTATCACTGAAGGTGGAGTGCGTCAGTGGGTCATAAGATTTCAAAATGGCCGAACCAATGTTCACGACAAAGATCGAAGTGGGAGACCCCAGCAGTAGTGACCGCCGAACTTCTCGAAAAAAAAAGTCGATGCTAAAGTCCGTGAAAATCGAAATTTCACAATAACGGAACTTTCTTTGAGTTTTCCACAAATTTCGCGAAGTTTGTTGCACGCACGAAATCATCAGCGAAAAGCTTGGTTACCACAAGTTTTGTGCAAGATGGAAGGCAAGAAGAGGTAACGAAGTGGTTGAAGGCGCAGGCGGCCGAATTTTTCGACGAAGGAATTTCCAAGCTCGTACATCGCTACGATAAATGCCTTAATTTGTATGGTGACTATGTAGAAAAGTAGTATTTGAGTGTGGCTTTCATCTGTATATAATAAAATTTGTTTCCTATACTTTGTTTATTTTTTTATTCCAAAACGTAATCTACTTTCTGGATAGCCCTCGTATTAAATGGTTTTGTGAGACAAAATAATTTTAAGCTGAAAAAAAAAAAGTTTTTGCTAGTAATTTTTTTTAATTTAAATTTTTGAAGAAAACTTTTACAATTAAAATGTCTTTCTTCTTCTACAACATTAGTGTCTTCCCCCCAGTTTTTCTTTATTGTATTTATTAGAGTGTTCTTAATAATTTCAAGGAATGATTTTGCAATTAATGAATTAATTTCTGAGAAAAAAATAAAAATACTCTCTTATCTAAAGTCTTTAAAACAAATATAATCTCAGTCACATTTTCATTTCAAATAATTTTTCTTTTCAGTATTTTGCGAAACCCATCCTTGTTTCTATAAAGTATATAATTTTAAATAAGCAGTAAAATAAATAATTTAGTCCATACTTGTATATGTTGTTACTGAATTTCAATACGCACATATATATATAAATCAAACCTAGTGCTATTTATTCAATTGGTAAATATAAACATAAATTACAAACCTTTTTTTAAAAC